AATATGGGATGTTTTGAATGAAGTGCGAAAAATTCCGGAATCGTCCAGCATAGAGTTGGATTTCGTGCTTTTTTTCATTCTCTCGGTGTTTATTTCTAATCCAAAAATCATATTTCGTTTTTGCAAGTAGACTTTACAAACTTCGAATGTTTTTGTTGTAAATTGAATTACATACTCGGGAAATATGTGTCAATGACTCGTTAATGGGAAATCTTACTTGAAGTACTGGACTCGAGTAAATATTGTGAAGAGTTTGAAACATTCGATGGCGAAATTAGTGTCCAAAAATGTAAGACTATGTGAAAGATGGGCCAACAATTCTGGCATAATTCAACTGATTAATATTAGGTTAATTTCACTCTAGAAAATCGCTGTCAGAATTTACTTGCGATAAATAAAAACTGGATTCCAGTGCCGAGCAACACCCAAAAAATTAATATTTTGTTGCTGAAGAAGTTCCTGCTCCTAAAAAAACTCGAAGCAACTCGTTGAACATTTCCAGAAAAATTCCGCAATGAGGCACCTTTTTCTTCCGAGTCGGAGGAAAACGCACTCTTGCTGCGATCCTTCATCTGACAGCATCTTCACGGAGGTTCTTCTTTCCTTCTTACTCTTCTTACATTTTTTTCTTACTAGCTATTGTTTGAAGACGCCATCCATTCACCTGTTTAGGTGCTGTACAAACACGCCGTGTTCTGCCAGCGAAGGTCGTTCTCCACTGGGTTACCAAGGCCAGGATTCACTAGTGAAACGCGTTGCAACTCCTGAGTATCTTACACTTGCGGGACTCGTCGCGGTTTTATAACAGCATCAAAATAACTCGATTGATCAGCGTCAACCAATCTGATATATGATTCCCTTCAACGGGTTTAACATTTAAAAAAAAAGAAGCCACGAGACGACTTTATCTCTGTGGGACTTCCTCAGGCATAAATTGTAAACTTGTTTTGAAGTCAGCTTCGTATGACAGGTTTCTAAAAAGATATTTCAGAAATGAATAAGGAGATTATTAGTGGTTCGTGAAATGCATCATCAGTACCCTGAAAGGAAGTTCTTTGAGTATCCGAATTTCTGAGCAAAAACCCGCCAAGCAAGAATTTGAAAATGCATTTCAAGAATTTTTCACAAGGACTGCTTGTATAAAAGATCTTGAGCAGTAAAGTAATTAAAAATTTAGAACGACTTTCACATGTAGCTTCATTTACGCAAATAATTTCCGACACCAGCATTTTTTCAGCGGAATAATAATGGCGGATTCTGGGTACTCGCCCATAGGCATTTTTCTATTATTCGAATCATTTGACTGCATTTTTACAACCTGAAAATGCGCAACGATTGGCTGTGTCAAGTAAGCCTAAATTCTTGAGTCGAAGAGTGAGCAGAGTCCGAAACAATTGTAAAAATTAATAAATTCCTTGGGAAATCAAAAAGACTTTAAGAATATGGAAGAACAGGAAGGAAATTTGTAAAACAACATGCGTATCAATTGTAATTGTGCTCCAACACTTGAAAATCAAATGCCGCATTTCAAAAATCCATGTGTACCCCGAAGAGCGACTAAGAATTTTGTAACACTTTCTACTTCACTCCAAGAATCTTCCAAAAAAGGAGCAGCGAAACCATGATGTATTTCGAAACGCTCGCCAAGACAAAGGGCGCCTACTTTTTCGAAAGAAAAATCCGTGGTTTGAAAAATGTAATGCTTCATTTTATTTTTATGAATCAAGTATTTTGAGGTTCGAAGATGATTCGACCTTCTCCGAATGTCAATGAACGGGACCCGGGCACGTGCTGGTTATTATTGCCCTTTTAATGCATGCAAACCACGTTCACCGTGAACTTCATGACTTCCTATGCTTATTTATGCCCCTTTTGTTACGATTACGACCGGGATTCTTGTTTATGAATGGGTTAGACCCAGAATAGCCTTAGGGAAAAGAAGGTCGTTTCGAGAGCCCAGTTATTCCCCGGCCACAGATCCTGAAACGGCCCAAAATAAAAATAATTCCTATTCAAAGTTCAACGATCAGCCTCAGCAGGAATCCCTGCGATTCTGTGTTTAAAAAAGAGAAACTCATTTTATTTTTTCAAGGGAGATTCCGATCAATTGTGGGGAGATTTTTGAGTGACCTGTTTTGATGTGAGTATGGAGAGGAAGCAGGGAAACAACCTGGGGATTCTTCTTTTCAGGGGCTAGGTCACGATCGCGAGATGTTTTATTCATGTCGCGTTTAGAACCCATGGGTGACGACGCATACCCGATCTGGAAACCTGAACGAATGAATTTGTGGAGACACCCCAGGGCTTTTTTCTTCATCTTGTCGCATTCGCCCGTGATATTATGCTGAATACATCCTTGCAATCCAAAATTTTCTAAACCTGGAAAAATTTCCGCTCAAAAATTTAATAAACTTTTTGAAAAATGTGCTTAGTACGCTTTATACCGGTATTCCAGGGCATTTAAATGATATATTTGATGGCTGTCTATTTTTTATGACGCCTTAACTTTGCCTTAAAACTTCTTCCATTCTAACGAATATAATCTTTAAAAAAAAATTTCAGTCTATACCACATGAAGATCTCCTCCCCGAATTCAATTTCCTTTTTTAAATATTTGAAGAAAATGCTCCGTTACCGAAGATCAGTATTCGTAGATATTTCTTTGAAAATTTATTAATTCATGATCATGATCTTTCCGAAGATTAAGATGAAACAGCACCAATCAGGGGCTAGGTCACGATCGCGAGATGTTTTATTCATGTCGCGTTTAGAACCCATGGGTGACGACGCATACCCGATCTGGAAACCTGAACGAATGAATTTGTGGAGACACCCCAGGGCTTTTTTCTCCATCTTGTCGCATTCGCCCGTGATATTATGCTGAATACATCCTTGCAATCCAAAATTTTATAAACCAGGAAAAATTTCCGCTCAAAAATTTAATACACTTTTTGAAAAATGTGCTTTAAAACTTGAGCACGCTTTATACCGGTATTCGAGGGCATTTAAATGATATATTTGATGGCTATTTTTTTATGACGCCTTAACTTTGCCTTAAAGCTTCTTCGATTCTAACGAATATAATCTTTTTTTAATTTCAGTCTATACCACATGAAGATCTCCTCCCCGAATCCAATTTCCTTTTTTAAATATTTGAAGAAAATGCTCCGTTACCGAAGATCAGTATTCGTAGATATTTCTTTGAAAATTTATTAATTCATGATCATGATCTTTCCGAAGATTAAGATGAAACAGCACCATCGTAGAACAGTACGGTACACCAAAAAGCAGAGAATTTTGAGCGGGAATTGAATAAAGAAAATATAGAACATTTTCTAAATTTTTGAACGGACTGTAAGTATAGAATGTCAAAATTGCGCAAATATCCTCAAAAGTTATGAGAATTACCAATTTTCTTGAAAATTAATTGCGAATTTACTAACGATTTCACTGAAGACTTTCTAAAGGGGAAGAGTGCCAATATTATCAATTAAGCATGCCATTGTTTTATTTCCGTGGCACAGAAAAGGTTTGTCTCATGTTCAGTGATGTCCGACAGTTGATTGAATGCGGTATTCATTCAACACTTAGAAAGCTGGGAAATATATGGAGGAATTGAATGTGGGTTCTCTTGAATAGACGATTTTGTGCGTTAATTATGGCTGAGTTTGCCTTTTATTCTGAATTTTATTTCAGAGTCAAGACACACAAAAAAAAGATAAATAGAAAAGCCAAGTAATTTTCTTAGTCGAGAGAATACGCACCCATTGTCTCGACAACTGACCAAACAATTGAACTCCTTTGCGGGAAAATTGAAGCCAGAACAAATTAACCTAACCTTAACCTCCGCACATTAACCTTTGCAACTCTGCCGGGAGTCTCAAGTTCCGTGAAATATGGGCTTCGTTCTGGTTCATTCTCTTTCGCCTCGGGCTCCATTACTTTCTTTTCGTTCCGAGATTCCTCGAGAAACCAGTTTGCTTCCGGAAGAAGAAGAAGAAGAAGAAGCTGCGCTGAATCCTTGAACCAAAACTAATTTGTAAAAATTTTGAATAGTAAAAAACGGAGTGTATTTTTTCTGGCGATTAGGTCAAATACTCGGTAAAAAAAAAAAAGAACTCTGGGGACTCGACAAGGGTGACGGATCCCTCGGGCACCGCATACCGATCAAGTCAGTCCAGAGGTCAACCCGGACAAAATCCGTGACGGTATTTTCCGGCACGAAGTCCTGCCCCTAATGAAGACATTGTGACGGTGAGGTGGGGGCTAGAAAAGCACCCAAAAAAATAAAATACAAATTAAAAACGGAGGAAAAAAAAAACATTTCTTTGGAACCCAGGACGATTCCGTGCGAACGCAACCCGACAATCTCGCGCTCAATTTGGGTACACGCGACGACGGGGCGTTGAGCAAACATTTCCTCTCATTCCTCACCTTACAGTGTGGCCATCATTTGGCAAGATTACAAAGTTTTTTTCTCCGTCAAAACAAAGCCACATCAGTAGATTCGAAGACAGAGGGAGAAAAAACAGACTGAAATTCTCTCGATTATTTCACTGAGTCTTACTAGGCTACCCGAGTAAGTCTTCATTTCACTCTATACACAAATTTGAAATTATGATGCATATATATTTAAGTGGAGTTTAAGCATTTCATTCACTTGGAGAAACCTTGTGTTATGAATCAATTCGCTTGATTCAATTTGCTCAACTGAACTGCCAACAATCCGAGGAATTTGTGGAATAATTATTGTCATTCACCCTGCGTAATTTTTCTGATTATAAAAAGCAGGGATTATAGAAATCTCAGCACGCATTTACAAAATAAAAATTGACACTCGCATCATCCTGAAAAAAATGACACTACTAACATATATAAGCGTGAGCATAATTCTGCATAAAATCATCAGATACTGAAGTGTGCATTGCGTTTTGAAAAAACTCATTTTGTGAAAATAAATTTAAAACAAGCATAGTTTGTGACGACAGTTGACTTTAGGAATGTATAAAATTCACGAGTTAGGTTCTGGGGTGAATTTTGTGTTTTACTGCATAGTGAAATCATGTACCATCAACAACCATTGCAAACAAATTTTCAGTATTACAAACTTTTTCTCAAACGCTGACAGAAAGCCCTTAGGGTACATGTCAGAAATAAATCGTGGGGAGGTCTGATGTGAAACATTTTTCCAGTCAATAATGTTGAAAAGCTCATCGTAAAAAATTATTCCGCATAAAAAGCTCAAGCCCCCCCCAAAAGTTTGTTGCGATGAGATTTTGATGTAAGTTGAGTAGGAATCCCATATTGGAATAAAGGACTTTTTCCAGCGTTCGTTGTCGGCAAAAATTAATGTGTATTTTTTTTTCTCTTTGTTTTTCGCTTATTCAGGAGCCTTGGAGACGCATTTTCACAAGCAACCCAAGCCGTCGGCGCCGGAAATCACGGCGTTGGCCGACTCCCTGCAACTGGAAAAAGAGGTGGTGCGCGTGTGGTTCTGCAACCGGCGCCAGAAGGAGAAGCGCATGACGCCGCCGATCCTGACCCAAGAGGATGCCCTGGCCCAGGGCCAGGGCATGATGGTGCCCGACTCCCACAGCCCCTCCGACGACCCTTACGCCCAGCACCACCAGTACCACATGGCGCACGTGGCGCAACACGGGTCGCCCGCCGGCGTCCCCTCAAACTCCCCGCCCATGCTGTCGCCAGCAGCTGCGCACTTGCAGCAGCAACAGCAACAACAGCAACAGCAACCCCCGCCGCAGCACTCCGTGGGCCAGTCCCTAGTGTCCCACTGACCGCCCCCGCCGTAGTTTTTTTTTTTCGTGTTTTGCGTTCGAAATATTTCTTTTCGCGGCGTCCTTATTGGTTCTTTTTTTTTTTTTCAAATGGTTTCGTGTTGCCACAAACCTTCCCCCCTCTCGCGCGGGTTCTTCTCAAATTCTGCAGCTCCACAAGCTCCCGCGTCCGTCACGCAACCGAATAACCCCATATATGAATAAACTCTCGCCAAGTTAAGACAAGAAATCCTAGAAAGAAACTTGGCTGTATTTGATCTCAAGAAACGCTTTCAGGATTTCCCTCGTCCCCCGACTATCGAACATCCCATCGAAAAATCGAATAATAATGAAATAATTATAATGATACAACATCTCGGAAATCAAGCAATCTCTCTCCCATCCCTCGGTTGCGCGAAACACAGGAGCGATTGGAGGTAATTTTGAGCTTAAACCACGAACCCAGCATTTTCTTTTTCTTTTTTCTTCAAAATTTCCTGAAGAAGAATAATTATCTCGGCAAAAAAAAAGACGCGTGTAATGTTCCGCCAGAATTTCTTTTTTTTTTTTCATTCAGCGCTCCGAACTGCTATCATCCGCGGAAGAAGAGACATTTTGTATGTGATATTGCTTGAGGGAATAAGGGGGAGGAAGAAACGGGACGGAAGCCAACGACGACACACCCTGATTTGAAACATGCCTGGGGCAATCATCAGGTTTCTTCCTGACTGTTGAGAACGGATGATAAATCGATACATTCCAACGTTGGTCAATTTTTAGCCTCCAAACTTGCGAGAGATGGTTCAAATGTTTTTTTTTTTCTTCAGGATCTATAGAAACGATGTTCTCGTGGTAACCATGGTTCCGATTAAAATTTTAAAAAATTCAAAACATTCTGAATCTCCACCAACTTACAATTTCAGCAAAAAACTCACCATCGATCGACGCTCCAAAAATAACTTATTTTCCATTCAAGCATGACTGTCAGATTTTATCGTTTCGCACTATAAACGAAGATTTATTGTAAGACCTAGAATGCCTGGAAATTCTTGGAATATCCAAGCATGAAAGGATTAATTTTTTAATTGTACCGGGCGGATAATAATTTCAACTGTATCTTAAAGAGTAAAATCTGAAAATAGTGATAAATCAATCGAACATTCAACAAAACATCGACGAGAGAAAAACGGGAATATCAAAACTTTTGAACCAACTGTTGTATGTTTGAAGGGTTAAATTTTAATCCTTGCTCATTCACCGAAGATAAAGCCTCTTGGACATAGTTTAGTAGTTGCAAATTGGCTGAAACCTTTTGATTGGCCCAGGTATAGAGCGTAGGCGGAGTGGGTTCCAATTTTTTTGTTTTTGTTGATTTTTTAGCATTGTCAATAAAAAGTGGGGGGTCGCGCCAGCAAAACAAAAGAAGGAATGAAAGGAAAGAATTGAGAGATTGAGACTTGACAGAAAAAAGGAAAAAAATAGAGAAATCAGGCCACCAGTTCCACTTGAAAAAGAAAAGAAAGAAACCTGTGGGGGGAAAAAACACGCATTCTCGTCATCTGTGTCCGGCTTCCGCGCATTTTCCATGAAGTGTGTTGTAATCGCCCCGAGCTGGGAAACGGGAGAAATATTTCGGGGTCCCGAAAGTCGTTCCCCAGCTTCATGATTGGCAAAAAGAGAAGAAAAAAATTTCGCAAAAAAAAAAAATCCTGTTGTCTGCAGAATACTCGCCTCCTTTTCCTCGGGTATCCTCGTTTTTAATTACGTAATAAAGTGCGACGTTTGCATAAAACGGATCTTTTTTGGGCTCCGAAAGGAATTTTTCTTCATTTTATTTTGCCACATCAGTTCTGCTATATTTGCACATCATCATCGAACCGGCCCACGATTGTGTCGTAATCCGATCTAACAGCACAGAAAAGATTCCGCTGAAGTTTGAAAGAGATCATCTAAAATTAAATGACTTTTTAAAAAGGTTCTTCAAGTATTTAATCAAGGTGCATATGCATTTTCCGCAAATTTTTTTTTGTTGGGAAACGCTTAAGCATAGTGCTGAAACTTGAGGGTAAGATCTTCAAGTTAGAAAAATCTAAACACGCTCGAGGATCCGTAAAAAAAAAAAAATTATTCCTGAAACTCACGAAGTGAAACGATTTCATCGAATTTTTATCGACGAAGACGACAGTGAACTATAGAACGAGTTCAAAAACGAAGACTTTAAAAGTCCAATATTTTATCGAATACAAAATTTACTTCTACAGTATAATCATTTCCTGAAAAAATATATCCAAAATTTTGCCTTTAAATTTGAAATCCACTTCCCCAACATGCAATTTCTTCAAGATCTGAAGAGTGTCTGTTTTACTCGTGATCCTGTTGCAGCTTTATATATAGCTTCAAGAACTTCAAAATAAATCAAGATTCAAATCGTGTGCCCTTGAACTAAAAAAATCGTAATGCATTTTTTTTATCGCTTTCTGTATCATTTTGATGGATTGCATTAGTCAGAAAAATCATGAACCGCATCAGCAAATCTAATAGTTGCCAGCTAACATAAAGCCCCCGCTGTTTTCGAGGTAATTCTTGCAACAAAAAGTGAATTGTAAATCAACTGCTGTTTATCGTTTTGAGCAAAACTATTTAACTCAGTTCATGTGCAATTGAGCGGGGGAAAGCTAGGAAAGGAGCGAGTTATTCGCTTGGAAAGTTCCATTGCAAGAATATTCCGCTCCTGCGAAAATAATGCGATGCTATATAAAATATTGATAATAATATTACAAAAAAACACGAAGGGGGGGGGGACCTTTTACAAGCTGTGGGGGTTCAGCATCACCCACACGCAGCAGGAGAAAACCCCGTCATTAAGTTTTAACGCTTGTCAAGCCTAGGAAAAACGGAGGTTTCACAAGTGCTCCGTGTGTGGCGCGGGAAATTATCGCTCAGCACGTCCTCATTTGCCTTTCTATATGTATATATATATATTTATATATATATACACATAAGTATATAGTTTTTTTTCTTCTCTCACATCTTTAAGAACACACAGCACAGCACAGCACAGCACCGAGAACACACACACGCTATCAATTGGGCAATAATGATTGTCAGGCTATCTCAGGCACCGCTTCATCTTCGCCCCGCTTCGCAACCTCTGCCCCAATTCCTGGGCTTCGGGGTGTCGATTTTTTTTTTGGCAATGGGATCAGTCATGTGCATTGCACGCAGGTTCAAATTTTGTGCAAACAGAGTCAATAATTTATAGATACAGTATCTATTAATCGAGTTAACTCAGGTTAGATAGTGCGTAGATCAACGCAAGTAGTATTAGCTGCTATTTAATGAGCAAAACCGCCTCGAAGTAGAATCAGAATTAAGGGGTAATCTGATGGACCCCCAAGTGTCGCCAATTCACATCAATTTTCTCATTGTAATTGCTAGAAATTTTCACTGTAGGAATATGTGTTGATTTTACTCAAGATAGAGACCAGCAATTGTAATTATTTTCAGTTTGTTTAGGTCAAACATTTTGTAAAGCTTCAGGTTCCCACAAAGTTTTTGATTTCAAATTTTTAGGTTTACTTGCTTACACTTGACCTCTTGTTTTTTATTTTTATTTTTATTGTTCGAAATATCAATAGTAACTGAACTTCGTTTAATCAACAGCTTGAGACATTCTTATAATTCCCAGTTTGGCTAAGTTAGGTGATATGAAAAATTTAATTGCAGTAAATTAGGCTCACAAAGTATTCCTCTACAATTCGGTCTACTTTAAAAATTATTGGATTCTCCAATCCCGGACAACATTTTCACTAAAAATTTGAAGAAATTTTCCTTTCTTCGATTCGCAATACTGAGAAATTCACCCTCTCATTCATCATTAAATAAGCCTAAAATAAGACAATGCAGTATTGCAAACAAAATATATCCGAATTTTTTCAAGAAAAAGGAAATCAGACTAGAAGCATAATTACCTTTAGTTGGATACAATTTCAAGATGTGAATTCTTAGCAGTGGTATGTACCTTTAAAAAATCCTCAAATGTCTGGATTCTCAGAAATTTAGGTTTCTGAAGATATAGAAATCTTCTTCATATACTGTATTCAGGAATGCAAAACTTTTAAGCCCACAAACAAACTTCCGACGACGGATAAAATCATTGGATAGAATTCGTATTCTCTCTGGAATGAAAGCAGGGTATTGGAATAAAATCCCTCCTTTTTCTGAATTTATTAATGTAGAATAAGGTTTTACGTGCGAAACCTCACGGAAATGGTTCAGCGCGCAGGTGCAAAATTGTTTTCTGGAGGCTTGTATCGATCGAATTTCTTTGTAGAAAAATGTTATTTGCTGTGGAAAAATATCGATATATTTTTCGAAAATTTTATCATGCCAAAGGCAGATCAGGGAAATTCCCTGAAAATAAAATCGCTGCTCGAAACGGGGGGAAAAGTCTAGAAATGAACCTGCGTTGAAAAAAATGCTGCTTTCATGATGGAGATCATTACTTAGAAAACTGCCGAGAGAAAGAAAAAAGCTTCCTTGACTCAACTTATTTAAACAAGGAAAAAATTTAAAGTCATTTTTTTCCAGCTGTCTCACATTTTGCCGATCGTTCGGATGCGGAAAAAAAAGAGGCTGTCAAAAATTGGCAAGACCTCAAGAAAAAAAAAAGCGAGAAAATAAAAACGAAGATTGGAAGTGGGGGGTGGGAATTACGCACGCAACTTTCCGTCACATCAGCAAAATAAACGGCGCGCGGAATTCCGCCGGGGATTTTCGGCGAGGGTCAGTTTCCGCTGTTCCGCGCCAGTGGAATTCCGACGGTTTCGACTTTATTACGTCATAACATTTTCAAGGCATGGGTTCGCTTCGCTCGGCCCCCAAGCAAGTACCTCTCTTTTCCAGTGCACGGAATTTTCCGCTGCCACTACTGATCGTTTGTTTAGGTCCAGGCAGACCGAGCGTCATATTCTTCCTCTCTACCTTTTATTTATTTTTTCTTGCCCGATGGAACCCTTCCTTTTCCCCCTCTGGTTCTGATGGAGCCCGCCCAGAAATCACCGGAAGGTTTATTTTTGTGTCCAGTCCTTTTGGAGAAAAATCTTCGTGTTTTCATTTTTGCTGGTTGTGGGACAATGGATGATTTCTCGGATGGCAGTGAGTGCCAACATTCCTTAAATACCTGCAGTGAGCAGTTTAAGCTCCGAGGAGAGTTTTAAAAGTACTCGTCAAATTCGAAAGACCATCATCATGTTCTAATTTTAGCAATTTAATTTTTTTCTGATACACTTCAGTGAGTCCACGCACATAACGAGATGCACACATGAGGCCAATTTTAGATTTTTAAAAAATTCGGGGAAAAAGAGTAGAGTACCTCTACACAACGAGTTTCTTCTGTCAAATGACAAAATTCTCAGGGGACAAACAATTTTAGGAAATTATGACTTCCACCTTTTGACTTTTTTTTTGCCAAGACAAGACAAAAGACAAAAAACCTGGCATAATCCAAGCAATAAAAGCCTCTCTACAGCATTTCATATTGCCAGGAATGAATTAAATCTTTCGAATTTCGAAAATCATTGAAACGGCCACAAAAAGGTGCACGCATGAAAATTTTTCTTGAAA